ATCTGCGTCTACGAACCAGGGATGCCATTCTGGAACATTCTTCTCAGCCCTTAAATGCATGTAAATTATATAACATTGTGCTGAATACATATAATTGTCTTTGTGGCTCTCTGTGGTTGACTAAATTGTAGGTATTGTTCTTCTTCTTATGTATTCATTAGGACAGGTAAATTTATTTAAACTGTAGTATAAACAAGAAAAAAATGGAATGACTCCAGGAAAAAACAGCCATTTCTTACACAGTGTATCTATCAGTTCCAATCATTTTCAGAGGGAGTGTCCTCCAAAAATGACTTTTTTTTCTACAGAAGGATAGTTGAAAAGTAATCCTCAAATACAAGGTCAGGTTAATGCTTGTGCAACACATAGAAAGAGTGGATAAAAGAGCCTTGGATGAATGAACAAATCACGCAGGTGTAAAGCACTTAGACAGAGGTGATAAAATGAGTCAAACGTTTACTTTTGAAATGACTTTCTTCTCTAAATTATAACGATGGGAAATAAGAAAAATGCCCCAAAGCAGGTAATATTCCAGCATATTATTTTTAATATCTCTGACATATAAGGTTGTGTAGGAAGGCAATACAAAGCCTAGCTAGGAAGAAGAAAAGAGAATTAATTTTGTAAAGGAAGCATAATAATGTCACAGGTTTAATTTATCTCAAGCTGTCATCCAACTAAAGCAGGAAACAATTATGATACAGAACGTCGAACATGGACTAATCATTTTAATGACTAATGGAAAAAGCTATAATAGATTTTTCACCCAGAAATTTATAGTTAAATAACACCATAGTTTCCTTCGTACCACTTTTCCCGGTTCATTTCTGCACAGGAACTTGGCAATAGTCAAAGTCCTTTGCTTTAGCTACCACTCACTGGAAAAGCAACAAAACACACAAACCACAAAAACACTCATGTTAACACCTTCTGACAACTTAATAAAAAGGTAGCAACTGACTCACAACGTATTATCAAATGTGGAAAAGCACGCTCCAGAAGGAAACTTTCAACAGCTCATCCATCATCCAACAAACCTTCACAGAGTACAGTATTTTCTGTCAAGCAGTGTGTCCGGAAATGAGAAATGGGGTTGAATATAGGGTAGAATTCTTCCCAGGATATGCCCCTTGTAATAAAACAGATTACTAATTAGACATAAAACACAGTGACATAGGGGCCAGAAGAAAGAAATGCCCAGGAGACTGCAGGGGCTCAGAAGAGAAGTAACCAGTGGGTGAGTCAGAGGAGATTCCTGGATATGCCAGTGCCTGGAATGAGAGAACCTGGAAACTCAGAGAAACTGGGCATCCCAAGTTCACCTGAAATGGGAAGTTAACGTGTGGGCCGGAAAGAGGTGCCTAAGAAGGCAGGCAGGGGAAATCCTGTGGGCCTTATTTGCCAGTGCTAAGCAGCTTGGGTTTGTTTAGCAGGCAAAGAGGACTCACTAAGAGATGTTCAGTCTTGGGGAGAGACCGGGGAGAATCGTGTGGGGTGTAAGATTTAAAATTTAGGGAGACCAGCCAGGAAGCAGGGAGAGAACGGATTGCAGAGTTGGTACTAAATTAGCAATACTGGGAAGTGGCTGCTACAGGAATCCAGGTAACAGTAATCTCAACATCAATGAGGGCATGAATTAAGACCATGTAGAGGGATATGAGATGGGGGCGGGGGCGGGGAATTTAAAAAAGTATATTTAGGAGACAGAATCACTAGTATTTGGTGAATGATAGATGTGAGGTGTCAGTGAGGTAAGGGAATCAAAGACTCCTCCAGATTTCTAGCTTGCACTGTTAACTGGACAGTGTGTATCAGAATAGTTCCTCAAGACTGAATGCAACAGACTTTGTATATGCTGTAATAACACTATCTGATGATGCAAATATTGGAAATAAAAATAAAAATTATCATGACTGACAGAGTCATCATGTAACATTCTACTCCGATATAATCTACTCTGTGATCTCACAAAAGAAACATCCGCACTACCACTGAGCACAACCCTGTGAAGCTGATACCCTGAGCCCAAAGATTCATTATAGCCGGAGACAACATCTCCCGGGCACCTGCTAAGAGAGTCTGAGATTCTCTGAACCCAAAGAACGTCAACAGCCCTCCTAGGCAGCATCAGTCCCCTGCAATTCTACCACTTTAAGGCCACCGCCGTGTTTCGGTTTTTGTCCCTATACACAGGTTAGACAGGATCTAACCAGACTGGAGAACCCCCTCCCCAAGGTTTTCATAAGCGCCAGAGGAAGCTGGTTATATAACAGGGTGAAGATTAGCACTTTAGAGAGGTGTTGACTGAGCTTCTGCCTTTCGTACTCTTATCCAGAAGCATTACACCCTGAAGATATATCTGGAGTCCAGGATTTCCCTGAGAACTGGATAGCTGGGCATGCCAATTGTATCTTCAATGGCTCTCTGCTTGCGCTCAGCACGGAATCCAAACTCCTTAGCACAGATACAAAGATCTTCAAGCTCAGGTGGAGCATCTACCCAAATCACAATAGTTCCCTTTTGCTGCAACTGGCTCTCCCACCCACAGGGCCATGGCAGCCATGTTTACAAGGCATAGTCTGGAGACCTCTTAACAGTTTAGTAAGCCAAACATGGACCCAAGATGACCCTCTGCCAGGAATGTCTGTCTCTTCAACCATCTCCTTTCTCTCAAATGCTGGATATAATGGGACTTTAGTAAATGACAGCTGGTAGAGGTGCAAATGATTTACCCAATAGGAAAAAACATTCCTCCCGAGGTCATGGTTTTATTGCTCTGTAGGATATTAACCAGTTTTGTTTCTAACTTTGCAATCTATTCCAGCATTCTTTTTTTTTTACATTGACTATATTAACTAGTCTTTTAACTTCTTCTTTAGCACCCTGTTGGTTCCCTAATTAATGAGCTAAGTAAATCTTTGACACATGCTCTTTCTATATTTTTAAAATTATACTTTGAAAAAGATAAGCTACTTTCCCACACCCCACTCTTTTCTGTGGTAGGTATAAGCCTGAGAGTAGTTTGCTTGTATTGCAAAAGGTTTCACTATCAAAATATGCTTACCAGTACGAGATTTTAAAAATATTTCCACGACAGCCATTTCATCTTCTGGAAATGAATGAGTCTTGTATTATCTGCAATATCTGATTACTGCATTTCCATCACCTCTGAGGGTCACCTAACAGCCTTGGAGAGAGTCTAGGTCTCTGAGAGAGGCAGCTCTGCCTACCAACTACCACTCTGTAATATCTGGAGAGGCCGGGTGTGGTGGCTCACGCCTGTAATCCCAACAGTTTGGGAGGCCGAGGCGGGTGAATCACCAGAGGTCAAGAGTTTGACACCAGTATGATCAACAAGGTGAAACCCCATCTCTACTAAATACAAAAAATTAGCCAGGCCTGGTGGCGCATGCCTGTAATCCCAACTACTCGGGAGCCCCAGACAGGAGAATCACTTGAACCCGGGAAGTGGAGGTTGCAGTGAGCTGAGATTGCGCCATCACACTGCAGCCTATGCAACAAGAGGGAAACTCCATCTCAAAAAAAAAAAAGAAAAGAAATCTGGAGAAAGGCTTTGGGATAAGCCCAAATTGTTCTATTTGACTTTCGGTGTTGCCCCACGTACACTATTACCCAGATCTACCTGATGAAACTTAGTGCTAAAGTTACTTGAGACTTGGATTCTGCCCACCTGCAAGCCTCATGTCTTTGGGAAATTCACCAGGTTAATCTTTCTGGGTCTCAGTTCCCACATCAGTTCAACAGGGCAATATGCTCAACAGGGCAATTTCCACATCAGCTCAAAAGGGCAATATCGTTTTCCTTACAGGGTTGTCAAAAGATTTACAATTAGCCTGGCTCACTATAGGTGGTCCACAAGTGCCAGCTACCTAATACTAAAACGCCTAGGCATGCTTGGATAGGACAACTTGGGCACAGAATTTAGAGGGGTGGTTTTGTTTTGTTCTGTTTTGTTTTTTGGTTCTCTGGGAACTGGACAAGGTGACACAGCCAAGGCCCTTCCAACTATTAAGAATTCTTCCCCAAATACTTTGCATACGCCTCAGCAGAACTCAAAAATATCCACGAACTCTTAACTGACACTAAAAAGTTGCGTACTCCAAAAATCCCTTCTGATCCCCAGGTGTCCTACCAGGTCTGCAAACCTTCGATTTGGGGGTGCATGACCTAGCTGTTCTTAAGCATATGCCCTGAATTGTTACCCCACCTCCCGGCTCACGGCTGGCCCTCGGGATGCAGCGACCCCTCCTCGCCAGGCTCCGCGGGACTCCGGGCAGGGCGCTCAGAGCTCCGGCAACCGCAGGGTTCGCATTGCTGAGGTCCGCCCAGAGAACAGCCGCGCCTCCAGCTCGCAGTTCCTCGAGCCAGGTCGGGGAGCATCTGTGCCCCGCCCCA